GTTACGGGATAAACTATGTAATGTAATGTAATGTAGTGTAGTGAAGGCTACACTTATGGTGGTAGAGGTGCTGGGGTTTAGATATTTCACTCACAAAAATGACAACGGAAATGTGATTTCAAACATCGGAGCCGATTCGTCAGTCAACAACTTTTTAATTAGCATAATCACCGGTGTGATTCCGCTCCGGTTTTCACTACAACGAAGTGGGTCCACCTGCAGATGCGTATAGTTGGGATTTCTTTCACGGGCACGCTAGTTTTCGCGATCACGCTAAAAAGGCTAAAATGTCAATTAATTATTTTTTCGTTATGCAAATGTAATGAAGATTTAATTAGCTCAGCGACCGTACAATAGGTTGTGGCAAGGCGTAACTAAAAAGCACTTTTTGGCGTTAAATTTATTTTCTGTGATCATACAACGACTAAGATTCGTACTAGTATATATTTCAAGCAAAAGATAAGCCATAAAATAGTAGGCATTTCACAGGCATTTTAATAGGTAAACAAAATATACGCTTGATACAGTTCTTCCCAGCAAAATCGCCCGTACCTGCAAAGGTTCGGCATTTAAACGCGACCCTCACCACGCACCGGACGCAACTTTTCTATTCTTAGGAGGTGGGTTTACGAAATTTTGCACTTTAGATACCACAGCAAAATAGGGAATGATTCGACGACCAGGGAGAAGCGGCATTCCCTATTCGTCACATATATCAGTGATACGCACTCGTAAAACATTACATAAATAAACTGGCTAGGAAAAGAACAATTCTAGGAATTATAGTATAATAACTCAAAACCCAGGACTGACTAGTTTGTGTGTATGAATGTTCGTTACATGACGCACGGTTACTATTTTGTAGTAACCGTGCGTGACGTTTCCCGACGTGTGTCGAACAGTATCAGTCGGCGGCGTCGCCCGGTGAATTTTAAGTAGCCAGCGACCGGGGTTGCTGTCGTCACGCCCACAGCGGAAGGGCTCCCTTCCCTGTTGGCATTCCGACGAATGTTAAACGCCGGGTTCGACTGTGGTCGTACTGCTCGTCAGCATTCAGGGTCGTGCAAAGCATAGACCCCTTTGTTGAACAAGATTTCGAGCAGCAACGACCCTGAACTCAGTTTTAAAATAGTATAAAGTCACACTGCTAATTGTGTCTATCGTTAATTGGCCCGCGGCACTTGTTCAATCACCATACGGATACTCGTACAGTTTTTCCAAGGGTCACAGCGAGGTCACATAGCAATTCGTACTTTCTATTCGAGTAGTGTCAAATGCGTCTACCGACTGGGCGCATAATAGCAATTGTGTCTTTTTAGCAATACACCTCGTGACATTGACTTTACCCAGACCAGGTTATATGTTGAAGCATACTTTTTCTCGAGGACTGCTCTATTGATATGACAATTTCGCGAGGAATGCTTCATTGATATGACAATTTCATTGCAAGAATTATTAATTTTTTTATTATTATTTTTCTGGATATTTCTGAATGTGTGAATAGTACAGTCGCATTTGAACACTAACAGATATTGAGTTCATAGAGCGCAAAAAATTGTTCATTGCCATTCCAGGTTGTTATCTGTTATTAAATGAATACAACTAGCAAGGAATGATGTATTGTTATAAGGTTATTACAGGAATGACGCAAAATATGCACTCAGGTTTTAAATTCAATTAAAAACGTGGGCTTTTATATACTTGTGAAAAAATGGTGTTTGACGTTCGGCGGTTTGGAGAGTTTAAATAATATCTGAAATAAAATAATTTCCAAAAATAATTCATGAATTAGTGCCTAAAACAACCGAAATGTTGAGATATCGACGTACTTTTATATTAATCAGTCATGATGTCAAAAGTTAAATCTGCTTGCATTAACTGATCCGATTACTAGGATTATAATAACTGTGTAGATATTTTGAAATAGTTTTATCAATATGTGACAAATTAGGTTTTAAAATTACAGAGGTTTCTGTTCATTTGCGTTTGGTTAGTTTTTGTATGATTTCTTTCCATTCGACCTGTAGTGCCACTTCATTGTTTGACTTTTTTCTTTGTGTTCTTCCCATTCATGAGTAGAAATACTCTTGAAAGCAAATGTTGAAAAAGAACCATGTAACATGGTGTGTGTGTGTAATAATTGTACATTTCATAGAAATGTTGTGAGGTTTATGCTAAACCTACAGTTTATTATTACACCACAAATCTTAGTTACTCATATTATTTAAGTTGTTAAATTTATAGGGCCGAATGAATGAAACGTTCGTGCTGGGCACGTTCCTTTGTACGTACCTTATTGACGTTATAAAAATACACAAACGAAAATGGCTACCACTTGAGACGACGCCTCCACTGGCGTGAATAGGTTAATGCACGCGATTTTGTTAACACACACACGAAAAAAATCATTCGAAGATAGCGCCCTCCACAGGGGTAAAAAGGTTAATGCACGAGTTTTTTTTTTTACACACGCACATTTTCATTCGAACACACACACGTCATTTTTACAAACACCCACGTCGTTTTCAAACACGTAATTTTTAAAATACAAATGTCATTTTAATATACATATAATGTTTAAAACACGCGCCATTTTAAAACACACGCGTCGTTTTTAAACACGCGTCATTTAATACACGCATCATTTTTAATACACGCACGTCATTTTTCAAACATACATAGTTTTTAAAACATACTTCATTTTAATACACACGCCATTTAAAATACATACATCAATTTTTAATGCACATATAATTAATGAATACATACACACATCAGTCATTTATACACAAAATAATAATTTTACATTCCTCGCCTCGTATGCACAGTACATGGAAATCTGTTTTGATTTATTTTCTTTCTTTGTATCCAACCGTGTAGGCACATTGGAGTTTTGGTACACCCATAAATGTCACACTATGCCATGCAATTCATCGTTACGGTCAACCTCTTGTATTTTGATTGAATAATTTGCAAACAAATTAATTCTGTTACTATTGTGTCACATTAAAATCAACATTTTTACATAACATTACATTGAATTGTAATCATCTTTTCCCAACACCATTCTGAAATAAGAATATTAACAATTGTACGAGATTATCACATTGTATTGTTAAGATACGTAACTGACAAATAAAAAATATTCAGTCAGTTTCTCATAATAACTGAATATTTAAAAATATAAATTAACAATGTATGTTAAGTATTGAATGACTAATTTTCTTGAAAAAATCGTAATTACTGTACCAATGTGAATGTTTTGTGTGTACAATATATTTGGTTACACATTTCAGTTTAAGACAACACACATATTGCGTGTTGCTATATACGCTATATATGCAGGTTATATCATATGGTGCGCATAAGGTTTACTTGTGAATATATTATTGCTGCATCAATTTGGTAATCATCTTCTGTTATCATTAAACATTTTGTCTTTTAGAGTAATCAGACACCACTTCATTTAGCTGCAGAAAATGGATGTGATTCTACAGTAGAAATACTCCTGAAAGCAGATGTGAAAAAAAATCCACGTGATTACGTAAGTGTAACACAGTAAACATAACTAACATTATCTTTTCCAACTTTCAAGTATTGTTGTGAATTTTTTAATGTGCATGTGAACTGACTGTTTTGAATACAAGACAACCACTGTATGTGCGCATTAGACTGGTTTTGAAATCAATATATTTAGATTACTATAAATTATAATCCAATTTTCTCATCAACATTTGTATCAATTAAAATTATTACCGACAATTATTTTACCTCTTACATAATAGAATTGAGCCGACTATAATTATGGTTGTAGTCACTGGAATTTATTAGTTTTCGACCAATGATTGTTGTGACGTAAATTTTTGACCTATCTTGACCCTGTTTTACATCGGGTGATTATGATGTTTTGTGTTCAAGCACACATTGTCAATGAGGCCTGCTCCATTGATATAGTAGGTTAATTGCAAAGTACATGGGAATATATTTATTTTTATTTATTTTATGGCTTTGTACGACTCTGTGTCGGCACATTGGAGTGTTTTAACCATAAATGTCACACTGCGCCATGCGGTTCATCATTAGTCTACCTTTAGTATTTTGTTTGAATATAAAAAAATGTAATTCTGTATACTGCTGTGGCACTTTAAAATCAACGTTAATTATATTACATAGAATAGGGACATTAATTGAATTTCGCGGTTATGATCTTGAATTGCTAAGATACGTAACGGACAACTAAAAATATTCAGACAGTTTCACATAATAACTGAAGAATATTTTAAAATGTGAACTAACAATGTATGTTAAGTATTACATGCCTTATTTTCCTAGTAAATCCTGATACGATTACTGTACCAATGTGGTGTCATGTGTGTACAATATGTTTGGTTACACATTTCAGTTTAAGACAACACACATATTGCGTGTTGCTATATGCCCTTTTGTCTTTCAGTGGAATCGGACACCACTTCATTATGCTGCAAAAAATGGATGTGATTCTACAGTAGAAATACTCCTGAAAACAGGTGTGGAAAAAGATCCACGTGATTACGTAAGTGTAACAAAGTAAACATAACTAACATTATCTTTTACACTTTCATGTATTGTTGTGATTTTTAATGTGCATGTGACTGGCTGTTTCGAATACAAGACAACCACCACATGTGCGCATTAGACTGGTTTTCAAATCAATATATTTAGGATTACTATACATTATAATCCAATGTTTTCATCAACATTTGTATCAATTAAAATTATTACCGACAATTATTTTACCTCTTGCTTAATAGAATTGAGCCGACTATAATTATGGTTGTAGTCATTGGAATTTATTCGTTTTCGACCAATGATTGTTGTGCCGTAAATATTCGACTTTTTGATTTATCTTGACCCTGCTTAGACCAGATGATTATGATGTGTTGTGCTCCAGCACACATTGTCATGATGTCTGCTCCATTGATATAGTAGGTTCATTGCAAAGTATATGATATATATACAATATATTTGGTTACACATTTCAGTTTAAGACAACACACTACAAGACACTATAGGTACATTGGAGTGTTTGTTTCATCACGAATGTCACACTACGCCATGCAGTCCATCATTACAGTCAACCTTTAGTACTTTGTTTGGATAATATATAAACATGTAATTCTGTATACTGTTGTGGCTTTTTAAAAATCAACGTTTTTAGATTACATAGAATAAGAATATTAACTAACGTACGCGATTGTCACATTGTATCGTTAAGATACGTAAGGGACAAATACAAATATTCAGACAGTTTCTCATAATAACTGAAGAATATTTTAAAATATAAACTAACGATGTATATTAAGTATTGAATGTTTTACTTTCCTAAAGGTCATAATAAAATTACTGTACCAATGTGAATGTTTTGTGTGTACAATATGTTTGGTTACACATTTCAGTTTAAGACAACACACATATTGCGTATTGCTATATACGCTATATATGCAGGTTATATCATATGGTGCGCATAAGGTTTACTTGTGAATATATTATTGCTGCAACAATTTGGTATTATCTTCTGTTATCATTAAACATTTTGTCTTTCAGTGGAAAAAAACACCACTTCATTTGGCTGCTGAAAATGGATGTGATTCTACAGTAGAAATACTCCTGAAATCAGGTGTGGAAAAAGATCCAGGTGATGACGTAAGTGTAACATAGTAAACATAATTATCATTATCTTTTCCAACTTTCATGTATTGTTGTGAATTTTCTTATGTGCATGTGAACTAGCTGTTTTGAATACAAGCCAACCACTGCATGTGCGCATTAGACTGGTTTTGAAATCAATATATTTAGATTACTATAAATTATAATCCAATTTTCTCATCAACATTTGTATCAATTAAAATTATTACAAAAATTGAATGCCTTATTTTCCTAACAATTCATAATAAGATTACTGTACCAATGTGGATGTCTTGTGTGTACAATATATTTGGTTACACATTTCAGTTTAAGACAACACACATATTGCGTATTGCTATATACGCTATATATGCAGGTTATATCATATGGTGCGCATAAGGTTTACTTGTGAATATATTATTGCTGCAACAATTTGGTATTATCTTCTGTTATCAATATGCCCTTTTGTCTTTCAGTTTTATCGGACACCACTTCATTTGGCTGCAAAAAATGGATGTGATTCTACAGTAGAAATACTCCTGAAATCAGGTGTGGAAAAAGATCCAGGTGATGACGTAAGTGTAACATAGTAAACATAACTAACATTATCTTTTCCAACTTTCATGTATTGTTGTGAATTTTCTTATGTGCATGTGAACTGGCTGTTTTGAATACAAGCCAACCACTGCATGTGCGCATTAGACTGGTTTTGAAATCAATTTAGATTACTAAAATTATAATCCAATTTTCTCATCAATATTTGTATCAATTAAAATTATTGGATAATTATTTTACCTCTGACATAATAGAATTGAGCCGACTATAATTATGGTTGTAGTCACTGGAATTTATTAGTTTTCGACCAATGATTGTTGTGACGTAAATTTTTGACCTATCTTGACCCTGTTTTACATCGGGTGATTATGATGTTTTGTGTTCAAGCACACATTGTCAATGAGGCCTGCTCCATTGATATAGTAGGTTAATTGCAAAGTACATGGGAATATATTTATTTTTATTTATTTTATGGCTTTGTACGACTCTGTGTCGGCACATTGGAGTGTTTTAACCATAAATGTCACACTGCGCCATGCGGTTCATCATTAGTCTACCTTTAGTATTTTGTTTGAATATAAAAAAATGTAATTCTGTATACTGCTGTGGCACTTTAAAATCAACGTTAATTATATTACATAGAATAGGGACATTAATTGAATTTCGCGGTTATGATCTTGAATTGCTAAGATACGTAACGGACAACTAAAAATATTCAGACAGTTTCACATAATAACTGAAGAATATTTTAAAATGTGAACTAACAATGTATGTTAAGTATTACATGCCTTATTTTCCTAGTAAATCCTGATACGATTACTGTACCAATGTGGTGTCATGTGTGTACAATATGTTTGGTTACACATTTCAGTTTAAGACAACACACATATTGCGTGTTGCTATATGCCCTTTTGTCTTTCAGTGGAATCGGACACCACTTCATTATGCTGCAAAAAATGGATGTGATTCTACAGTAGAAATACTCCTGAAAACAGGTGTGGAAAAAGATCCACGTGATTACGTAAGTGTAACAAAGTAAACATAACTAACATTATCTTTTACAACTTTCATGTATTGTTGTGAATTTTTTAATGTGCATGTGAACTGGCTGTTTCGAATACAAGACAACCACCACATGTGCGCATTAGACTGGTTTTCAAATCAATATATTTAGATTACTATACATTATAATCCAATGTTTTCATCAACATTTGTATCAATTAAAATTATTACCGACAATTATTTTACCTCTTGCTTAATAGAATTGAGCCGACTATAATTATGGTTGTAGTCATTGGAATTTATTCGTTTTCGACCAATGATTGTTGTGCCGTAAATATTCGACTTTTTGATTTATCTTGACCCTGCTTAGACCAGATGATTATGATGTGTTGTGCTCCAGCACACATTGTCATGATGTCTGCTCCATTGATATAGTAGGTTCATTGCAAAGTATATGATATATATACAATATATTTGGTTACACATTTCAGTTTAAGACAACACACTACAAGACACTATAGGTACATTGGAGTGTTTGTTTCATCACGAATGTCACACTACGCCATGCAGTCCATCATTACAGTCAACCTTTAGTACTTTGTTTGGATAATATATAAACATGTAATTCTGTATACTGTTGTGGCTTTTTAAAAATCAACGTTTTTAGATTACATAGAATAAGAATATTAACTAACGTACGCGATTGTCACATTGTATCGTTAAGATACGTAAGGGACAAATACAAATATTCAGACAGTTTCTCATAATAACTGAAGAATATTTTAAAATGTGAACTAACAATGTATGTTAAGTGTTACATGCCTTATTTTCCTAGTAAATCCTGATACGATTACTGTACCAATGTGGTGTCATGTGTGTACAATGTTTGGTTACACATTTCAGTTTAAGACAACACACATATTGCGTGTTGCTATATGCCCTTTTGTCTTTCAGTTGAATCGGACACCGCTTCATTTTGCTGCAAAAAATGGACGTGATTCTATAGTAGAATTACTCCTGAAAGCAGGTGTGGAAAAAGATCCACGTGATGAAGTAAGTGTAACATAGTAAACATAACGAACATTATCTTTTACAACTTTCATGTATTGTTGTGAATTTTCTAATGTGCATGTGAACTTGCTGTTTTGAATACAAGCCAACCACTGCATGTGCGCATTAGACTGGTTTTGAAATCAATTTAGATTACTAAAATTATAATCCAATTTTCTCATCAATATTTGTATCAATTAAAATTATTGGATAATTATTTTACCTCTGACATAATAGAATTGAGTCGACTATAATTATGGTTGTAGTCACTGGAATGTATTCGTTTTGTGACCAATGATTATTGTGACGTAAATATTTGACCTATCTTGACCCTGTTTAGACCAGGTGATTATGATGTTTTGTGTTCAAGCACACATTGTCAATGAGGCCAGCTCCATTGATATAGTAGGTTAATTGCAAGGTACATGGGAATATACTTATTTTTTATTTATTTTATGGCTTTGTATGACTGTGTCGGCACAGTGCTTTAACCATAAATGTCACACTACACCATGCGGTTCATCATTACGGTCTGCCGTTAGTATTTTGTTTGAATATGAAAAAATGTAATTCTATATACTGTTGTGGCTTTTTAAAAATCAACGTTTTTAGATTACATAGAATAAGAATATTAACTAATGTACGCGATTGTCACATTGTATCGTTAAGATACGTAAAGGACAAATACAAATATTCAGACAGTTTCTCATAATAACTGAAGAATATTTTAAAATGTGAACTAACAATGTATATTAATAATTGAATGTTTTACTTTCCTAAAAGTCATAATAAAATTACTGTACCAATGTGATGTCAATATGTGTGTGTACAATATGTTTGGGTTACACATTTCAGTTTAAGACAACACACATATTGCGTGTTGCTATAATACGCTATATATGCAGGTTATACCATATGGTGCGCATAAAGTTTACTTGTGAATATATTATTAGCTGCATCAATTTGGTAATCATCTTCTGTTATCAATATGCTCTTTTGTCTTTCAGTTTTATCGGA